CTAGCAATGTTTATTTTCTAAGAGTTTCAATTAAAAACCTGTTCAGACATTCCCTTTGCATCTTCAATCCAATACAGACATGGTGAGCAGTCAATTCCTTCTTCTAATCATACTAGTGATATACGCTAATTGAAATGATAGTCTCCTTGGTTAGAACATAGTTATTTGCTGCAGGAAGCTATAGAAAGAACATTGGTAGTAGACCAATGCCAACTAATGTTGAAGTGTTTGCATTTTCTGGAGGATTGTACAATACTGTGTTGTAAGCAGAGATATTTTGTAATATCAATTATCAGGACAACTAAGACTTGAGGAAATCATTCTGTGCCTCTGCATTAACTTGACTAGATAAAGAGAATGCCTGACAGAGACTTGCTACTAACTCAGACCACTTGAGACTCACAATCTGATAGTGGGTACTAGACAGAGAAATGCATAGTTTTGTGACTAGTATTGGGGGAACCTTTCACTAAATTATTAAGTGTGAAAAAAGGAGGGATAGAAATTTTAAAAATCTCATTAATTTGTGTCTTAAGGGATGTTTGACCCAGCTTTAATTTGGCTATTTATTAATAACATATTTCAAAATTTATATAACAATTCTAGAACAAATAATTTATTTACCTATATTTTATTGTATTTTAAAAGCTCGACTACCAGCTGTTCTGATGTTCTGCTGGCAAAAAACAAACAAATAAACAAAACAAAATGCTTTTTTTCTGGAAGATTTTTGCATTATCTTCCTACTCCATTTTAGGAATACAAAAAAGAAAAGAAAAGTAACCATGGAAAGACGTTCATAAAATTATTTATTTGCATGAATGGTCAATGCATAATGATTTGTTGTCATCTGGAACAATTGCAGGTTATTTATATAGGAGCTAATTCATTTGTGGAATTCATTAGCACAAGTTCTGACTGTGGCCCATAAATTGAATAGCTTTGAAAGGAAAAAGAATAGATCTATAAAAGACTAAGTCTTGAAGACTTCGCCTTACCTCTGCATTGGATATATGTCTCCAAATACAGGAGAATCAGTGGAAAAAAAAATATGTTTCCAACTTTTGCTGGTGAGCACCACAGAGTCATCTGGTAAGCCACTGTAAGAAACAAAATTCCAAGTTTTGATCAGAACCAACAAGGCTTCTGTTACATATTATGTCTTAGTTGTGGTGATCTTTGGGGAGTTCTATAACTCTCTGAGTAATTCATTTTGAACAAACATTCCTGTAAAATTATTTTAAAATACATTAAATTAGCACCACAAAAATTATTAACATTAAAAAAGTCAACAATTGACCACTGGCATGAAGTTTTATGCACATATATGGCAGAGATGATGTTTTTATTCTTGTTAAATTTCATCAGAGTGTAGAGTCTCACAACTACAAAATGGAGGTCTCTAATTTTAATCCTCAACAGTCAAAACACTGGCTGTTAAAATCTCAGGTCAAAATTATTTGGCTATTATCAGATTTTATGCCATCAGCTATAAATCTTAGCGCTCTATTACCTTTGCTTCTGTTTTTTTATGTAATATATATAACTGTCTGATTGGATAGTGTGCAAAACAGTTTTAAAAACTGGTAATTACATTTAATTTAAATAAAACAAACTGGCCCAGGCCTGGAACTGTGATAAAAGTTTTGAAGTCAAAATGTTTATTTTTTTAAATAGTAATTTGATTATAGATTACAATAACATCAGTAAAAAATAATACAGTACAAACTATAAAAAAGAAAAAATGGAAGGGCTAGAAATAAATAATATAGTAAAGAAAAAGAAAAGAAATATATGAAGTAGTTCCCACTTCCCACATTCATCATAACAAGTATGTCTAGTTTAACGAAGAGAAGGACGAGGGGGGACATGATAGCAGTGTTCCAATATCTTAGGGGCTGCCACAAAGAAGAGGGAGTCAGGCTATTCTGCAAAGCGCCTGAAGGCAGGACAAGAAGCAACGGGTGGAAACTAACCAAAGAGAGAAGCAACCTAGAACTAAGGAGAAACTTCCTGACAGTTAGAACAATNGGCCGTAAAGATGTGTAGCATTAGATAGAGTGTTCCTTTATCATGTTTTTGTATAGTAATACCAAGAAGGAAGAGTTCTGGTTTTAGTTCTACCTCTGTTGTTAATATTTCTTCTAACCATTTTTGAACCTTGTTCCAAAAAACACGGGCTTTCGGGCACTCCCACCACATATGATAATATGTCCCTCTTGCCAAATTAACACTGGAAGTTTTTAAGAAGAAACTGGACAGCCATTTGTCCAAAATGGTATAGGGTTTCCTGCCTGAGCAGGAGGTTGGACTAGATGACCTCCGAGATCCCTTCCAACTTTATTATTATTATTATTATTATTATTATTATTATTATTATTATTATTATTATTATAGTATAAACTATTTTACCACTTTCTCTTAAAATACATCAAGTGATCACTTCTTCCCAGATTCCATTTCTTATAGAGTCTATAGGTTATTGTTTAAAAATGTACTTCAGTATATCCAACTTTAAAATATTTTGCTTCATTCTGTAGTTGTGAGTTGGGTTTGAGTCTTCAGCTTCCCTAGATCCTTGTAGTGTCCAATTTTAAAGTCTTGCACAGTTTTTTAAAAAATTCAAAACAAATGCATAATCCCATAGGTAGCACTTGTTATGGTTAGTTCCAAAATCTTATTTCAAATTTACCTGGACCTTAGTCCATTTGTAACTTTTTAAAATCAAAATTTCAATTGCCCTTTTGCTGTTTATTTTTTCAAAACTTATATTTAAAACTTCTTTCACTAAGGACTAAAGGAAACTCACCTGGTGCATAAAACATGTTGATCCAAAGGCTCTTAATAAGTGAGAAGCAGTTAACAAGTAATTTCTGAAAGAATTAAAAAAGGAAATACTATACAAAATTAGGATCCTTTTAAAGATGCTGAATACAGTTTGAGCAAGATCGGTATTTGTTTGTCTACCAGACCTTTAAACCTGCCAGACACTGTTATCTTGCAATCTGCTTCTGAGGAGCAGCCATCTGGAGCACTTATGAACAATCTCAAGTCCTCTACTTATCTGGAGAGGAATTATCGAAAACCCAGTCTATCCACTGGCTCTTTATTTTGCTGTGGTTCTTGGCTCCATTTTTTGCAGAGCCATCTTCAGTCTGCCATTTCTTCCCTGGATGTCTTAATTTTGAATAATTCTAGATCTCACTAACATTAGAAAAAGTATTTTCAACTATAAAAAGGCAGTTAGTGGGCTCTATTTGCCATTGGAACATGTCTGGTAAAGTTAGAATATGAAATAAAATTTGGATGAAACGTTTAAATTTCAAGACATTTTATACATATTTAAAATAGTATTTCCTTTTTTTTAAGGAAATGAGATTATAAATGTTCAGAGGTACATGTAGATTAAATTAAAAAAATAGTTTATCAGTCTGAGATATTGTTAAAATCTAATTGATTATATGCCATCAACACATTTTTTACTATCAGCAGTCACATATTCTCCATGATGTCAAAATTTACCAGTCCTCAGAAAATTATTTTGCTGAAGCTTGTTTTTTATTTGGAAGAATATTCCTAGTGATCTCCATAGGAACTTACTATCCAGAGCTAAGGGAAAGCTGGAGGAATGTTTTCTTTCAAGAGTACAATAATAACCTCCATCTATAATATACCTAGTAATTATCAGTCTTTGCTTTATTTCCATTGTTAAATCTTTTTTTTTCAAAAGAAAAAAAACTCAGATTGTTATTATATGTCGATCCAAGTTTTTCTATAGAAATTGAAATCCCCAGCTGAACAATGCCTATAATACAAACAGCCAAAATGGCCCAAAATAGTGGGTAAAAGTGTTGAGTTTTTCTGAATTCTTCAATAGCCAACAAATTACAAAAAGTGGGAAATGGGAAAATAAGGAAATTCATAACAAGTCCAGATGTTTCCTGAGGTCTGCAGTGCAAAATCAGTCTCAAAATGAAGATTACAGAATAAATGTATTTGATAACATGTATTAATGTTAATTTTCATCTAGCTCAGTGGTTCTCAACCTGTGGGACGGGATCCAATTTGGGGTTGATCGACCATTTCATGGGGGTCGCCAAGCAAGGCTGTCCGCCATTTTTTTTGTCCATTTTTTCCCCTTTTCCGGTGGGTGCCTTACCTCCCTTGGGCTGGGCCAGCTGGTGGTCAGCCTGCTCTGTCTCTGCCGCTTGCCAGCTACGCCTCGGCTGGCGCAGGGGGCGGAACCACGCATGCACGGCGCTCCCGGGCAGGGAAAGCCCTCGACTTACGACCGGTTGGGTAGTCCTCGACTTACGACCGGTTTAGTCCTCGACTTACGACCGGTTTAGTCCTAGACTTACGACCGGTTTAGTCCTCGACTTATGACCGGTTGGGGTCGCGGCATTAAAAAGGTTGAGAACCACTGATAGCTGTCAGGGAGAAAAGAGCCTGGTTTACTTCCACAACTCAGAAAATACAAAAGCTAGTAGTTCTTATTTTGTGCTTTGTCCACAGGGATGTAAGAGCAGAAATAAACATTTGAAGTCTGTATATTAGCAAAGCTGAGAGAAATTTATATGGGTAAACCAAACTGCATACTGGTTGCAGGGCTTGCAAACTCAAATTACTTTGCCCTGGGTTGTTGAAAACCTATTTCTTTGGAGACACCATTTTCTCTTTAAGAGCTCAGGGTGGGGAGTTGCATTGGTTAGGGCCGGCCAACATGGAATTGGTTATTTTGCAGAATTCATATATTTTCATTTCATAAAATAAGATGTGATAGTATGTTTTTCCTATAGAATATAGGTCAAATACACAAATGTCAGTCTCTAAATGAAAAGCTTATAAACTCTGTAAAGAGTATGTTTAGAGTTCTGCTGTCACATAATAAAGAAGTTTATTTATGTCATACTTTTTATTATCTATTTCTATTCCAATGAAGATCTCTTTATTTGAGTTAGTCTGAACTAAACTCCCACCTTTTTCCTTTTTCTTTATAGATTGGCAGATTGCTACCCTTTCTATGCTGTTGGGTGGTGCTGCCATAATTCTTATAGCTTTCTTGGTTGGACTAATTTCTATCTGCGTGGGATCACGGAGGAGGTTCTACAGGCCCGTCGCTGTCATGCTGTTTGCAGCAGGTAAGTTAACTGCTGTTCTGAAATATGTACAACATTAGATAGCTGCTACTTTCTCAAGAATAGAGATAAAACATCTCTGATAATCCAAAAATAATTCTTTCATTTCAGATTGTTCAGCTTTTGTTTACATGGCCAAGAAATCCCAAGATTTTCCTTCCAGGCCAACTCTTTCTATGATTTAAAATTTGAAGAGCATTCTTTATCGAAGGGCAAAATCCCGGTGGCAACTAAATGAAAGAGGGATTCGGTATCTATTTTTTTAGCCTAGGTGTCATCCCTCCAATCTAAGCATTAGAAGAAATAAAGCACATATTGTCACTTGATAATAGTAGTATCTTATCTCGTCCGGCATTGCTTGCTTGACATTTTTAAAACACATTGTAGGTGATTATAATAGATGCCAATCCAGGTCTTTGTAAAAACTTAAGGGACTTTATCTTTCAATGTACAGTGTCAGTGTTCTTTAGGATTAGTTTTGGAAATCATTCATATAAAAAATAAATAGGATTAAACTCAAATGTGTTTATATTTTTTATGCTCCACAGAAAGCCTTACTTTCATTGTGTCAGCTTTGCCTTTTGTTATTTATTTTAATAGCCTTCATAGTATATAAATCCCTTATTTTTCAAAGGAAAGGGATTATATGAAGAAATTAGTTTTTAAGGCTCATATGAAAACTCAGGGATGTTCTCTAGTGGAATATACTGTATAACAAAATCATCATTTGGTATGGATTTGAATATTCATCAAGTTAGCTAATAATAGAGTTTTCCCTTCCTTCTTGCTAAGTTTTCCAGCTGCAGCTTCCTTTCTGTCAATTACGTTTTTGCTGGAACTGAAATAGTAAGCTTATCTGATATATCATAACAGAGAGAATGACAACTATCTAGTCTGCTAGATGGATTTTTAAAAATCGATTTAAAAACATGTAGAATCCAGGTTCTTAGTAGTTCAAGGATGAATATAATTATAAGGAAAAGAATCCTACTGCCCTCTTCTGTTTCCATTATTTTAGTTAAACCATTTAAGAAAGAAAGGAATACATGTAGGTGTCATTATAGTGAAGCTGTATCTTTCTAATTTTCAAAACTATTTGCAAGGATTGTTTTGATCTTCGTTCCATTCACTGGCAGAAAACAGGAAGAATTGTTTACTGAAAACGTATTTTATTTTAATTGTTTTACTTAAACATTTATAGTTCTTCAGCTGCTTTCATTCAAGCCTTTTCACCTCATGTGCTTTGAAAAAAGCTTCAGTTATCTGACAGAAAAAGAAAGATGAGAAGGATTATATTAGAGGAAAAAGTATCTTAAGTAGACTTCTCTTAAGCATTTGATTGATAACACAAATAATTCTAAACATTCAACAATTATAAAACTTGTAATAAACAATGCTGCAGAAGCTAGAAAAGAAAATAAGCCATTTAGTTTTCACATATTTGTTAAGAGTGAAAAGAGTGTGTGAGAGAGAAATTGGTTCAGTGATGACAAAAATATATCAGAATAGAAGTTAGTTTGCTATTTTCTCTTGGTTTAGAAGTTCTGTAGAAATAAATGAGTCTGCCATTAACAATAGAAATTTGTCAACAATAAAAAAAATGCTTCAGTGCCTTGAGATGATTCTGCTAATAAACAAGAATGGATTTTTTTCAAAATGTTTATTCAAATGTCTAAATTTGCATTTACCATCAAAATGTTAGTATAAACTTAAAAGTTAATCCCTCCAATAAACTAACTTTCATTACATGAAGGCTGCATTTTATAATCAAGAGAGTAAAACAGTTTTTCATGAAAAAAAACCCTGTCTAGAAAAAATATATATATACATTTGTGTATTGCGATGTTTTAAAAAAATTAACTTTGACTCACTAATGCTGTGAAGGAAATGAAATGAATTACAGATATAGAATTAAAGAACTTGAAAGGTCATTAACTCCCTATTCAGTGCAGGGATCAAAATTAAATCATCCTCAAGAGATTGTTGTTCAGCCTTTGACCATATTCACTCAACAAAGAGAAACTCACATTTCCTTGATAAATGAATTAACTGTCCAAATGCTGTTTCCACCAGGAAGTTTTTCCTAATATTTATTTCTATTCTATGTTTCTATTACTTAATAATAATTTTTGTATCATGCATTGTGGGATGATAAAGAGAAGAACTTCCTGCATCTTCCTGCACCACCTCCTCCCCTTCTTCTTCCCCCCTCCTCCTCCTGTATATATGATTACACCAGTGGTGGGATTCAAATATGTGAACAATCGGTTCTCTGTGTGGATGCCGCTTCCGGAAGTCCATTCTGGGCCTGGGCAACAAAAAATTAGCTACCGGTTCTGCCGAAGTGGTGTGAACCGGCTGAATCCCACCACTGGATTACACCCAAAATTACATTTGCTTTTTTAGCAGCCACATCACATTCCTGTAATAAGCTTTTATTCTAGTATCTTTTCACATTTACATTTTATTTCTTTTTCATAAGTGTATTTGTCTGCATTCCTTTATCTTTTCAAATCTAATCAATATCATTTTGGATTTTGTTTTACTTGTATATGAAATGTGACAATATTTAAATATTTATTTAATTTAAATCATAATGATAATTCCACAGCACCTCACTCAATACACATTTGCTAAGACATTGAGGGATACTCTTCAAGTTCAATTTTTTGTTTAATGAACCTGCCATCTAGTCCATATTTAACTAGCTTGCTAATTAGAATTTCATGGGCCTTTTTATCACTTTCCCAATGTCAAGATGTACATGCATTGTGATTTTTTTCTACAATCTTTCAAGATATTGATAATCATAATTAGTGGTTTCTATTTCGCCAAATTCTTTCTGCCATATCTTTCAAAGATAGGAATAAAATGTGTCCTCTTCAAACCATTTGATACTTTACCTATTCTTCATGATTTCTCACAGTGAATGGACCGAAGTTTGGATAGACCATCAGCAAGTTCTTCAGTTCTTTTTTCTTAATTGGATGGTTGCTAATTTAACCCCTTTTGACAGGAATACAGGTATTAATTGTCAGCGTATATAGAAAATTAATAGACTAACCAAGAGTATAATGGATTAATGCAGAGGTATGACTAAACACATATTATGAATGATCAGTTTCACTTAGTCAAATTTAGTCAAAATGGATATTTAAAAAAACATAAACATCTACACATTTATTAATCTTCTGAACAAATTTGTTTAAAATTGTTTAGGTTATAAACAGTATTCCATATTTTAATTAAAGAATTCAAATTAAAATAATGGAAGTTATGTGCTTTTGTATATATATGTAGCTCCCCAAAGTTTTATACACAATTTAATTATATACACAGTTCCATAGGAATTATATTTAACTACTAGTTAATATAACAAATCATATGTGATAAATAAGCTTCCCTTGATTATATTACTTCATTAACTTCTCCTCTGTTATAATCTGTTTATAGAAATCATTAATTTTGCCACCTGTGTTCTTGGCAATTCTCATAAAAGTCTGAACAATATAAACAGAAAAAGAATAATGGAAGGGGAACAGGGATTGCTCTTTAGAATCCTCACATGTGTTATTTTGTTCTAATAACGTATGATTTATATATGCTGCTGACTATTTGGATTGATGTATTCTTTGTGGATTAAATATAACTCATTGTGGTAATGTAATTTCAATGTTACTGAGTATTGGCTAAGCAAATTTAGATTGTGTATCACTTTAAAATGAAACACACATTCCCAAAGGATTCCTATGCAATGTTTTTTTTAAATAATATGGGCTGCTTGTGGGGATTTTTTTTAAAGATTTTCTTTTATTCTACCTTTATTATTTTTATAAATAACTCAAAGGAGCAAACATAGCTAATACTCCTTCTTTCTCCTATTTTCCCCACAACAAACCTTTGAGGTGGATTGGGCTGAGAGAGTGGCTGGTTCAAAGTTACCCAGCTGGTTTTCATGCCTAGGTCTGGGCTGGAACTTACCGCCTCCTGGTTTCTAGTCTGGCCCTAAAACCTAGACCATTTGAGTCATTTCTCAGACACTCTCTGAAAAGTTTCGTTTATAAAGAAGAAGCAAATGTTTATAAAATACTGTAACAAGTTACATTTCCTGAAATGTGTCAGTTTAAATGGCAGATGAAACAATAAATAATAGACTATTTCTTTCATAAAAATTCAACAGCTATGGATTGTTAGGGGGAATGTAAGGCTTTTGGTCCTTACAGTTATCGGATCCAGTTTGAAGATTTTTTCATTGCCATATTGAAATGATTTGTGTTTTAATCTCTGTGTGTCTTGCTTCTCTGTCTCTCTGTCTTACACTTCTGTAGTGTACCTGCTATGTAGTATTTTTATGGTAGGGCAAAAATCTTCTGTTCCTTTTATTGTATGTATTTTTATGTTTCTTTCTACGTTTGGAAGATTACTGAGATTCATATTTTTTCCTAGGATTATAGGTATCAGTTTACATATGATATGATGTAGAAGATGGATATATTTCTTCTTTGAATAACAAATCTTCTGGTCATTGAAGCCCACAAATCTGCTTTTTACCTGAGCCAGGGGTGTATTACTTTATGGTACCATATCAGTTTCTTTGGTTACCTGAGATGAAAATATACTGTAGCAACAGCCAATGCTGGAGATTTTATAAGCAATTTAATGCCAGACAAGTAGTAGAAATTTCCCTCTTGCTGTTTATGTACAAATATGCCCTAAATATTTGTCCTAAATGCAAGTCCTAAAGATGCTTACAAGACAGAGAGGGTGAATTGACATCCCCTTTTGGAATAATCAGTGAAAATGCAGAGGTAAAAGTATTTTAGCAAATAAGAATTTTAGATTGATCATTAGTCTGCATTATTATTAGTATTATTAGCATTAATTGAGAAAATAAGTTACTATCTTTTATTTGTTAGTGAAAACAGAATAAGTAGCATATACAAGAATAAAGCTGCAGACCCTATGATTCATTAGGATTTTTTTAATATTTAGGATTTTCAAATTATGTATTGCCCTAGTCCTCAGTACTCTTCAATAATCAGAGTTGTGCATTTTTGTATTGAGCAGGCATAACTTCTAATGCTATATGGATTTTTATATAGCTCTACCACATGGGTGTCAAACTCATGATGTCACATGATGTGTTGCGACATATCATGACTTTTTCCCCATTGTCGGCAATGGGGTGGGTGCAGTTTTGGTGTGACGTATCTGACCCACGAGCCAGAAGTTGATACCCCTGCTACCACATATCAGAATTTTTTATATTCAACTTTCTCTAAAGCGCATTCCTCTTTGCCTCTAATCTTTTTCAAATATAACTGATTTCATACATAGACATTACAAATATCTGTAGTTTTATAAAGTTCAACTAACAATGGCATATGGTAATATATTTCATTGCTGTTGATAAAACAGCTTTGCTGACCTTGTAGAAAGAAAATTCCTAATTCAGAACATTAAAATACATGATTTCTAATCCAATCCAGGGAGGGTCATATGTTAATTTTTAAATAAGAAGTAGGTAACATTCAGAAAGTTATATTAAAATACATCCTGAAGATTTTGTGTTGAATTTGTACTAGATAATTGAGACAAATTGTATCTGACTCCCTTTTCCTCTCCTCTTTTTTTTTCCCAGTGGTTCTTCAGGTCTGCAGTCTTGTCCTTTACCCAATCAAGTTCATTGAGACTGTCAACTTAAGAATATACCATGAGTTCAACTGGGGCTATGGCCTGGCTTGGGGTGCAACTATATTTTCATTTGGGGGTGCCATACTTTATTGTCTGAACCCTAAGAACTATGAAGACTACTATTAAAGGAAACTTCTTCTTTTGTAAGGAAAGGAATAAAACAAGGATTGTCCTGTCTTTTATAAGTGTTTTTAGTACTTTTGTAGAGTGTCAAGCTGTCTACTCTATTGATTTATTAGCCATTACTTTTTGGCTATAACTACTGCAAATAGCTTTTTAACATCTCTTAAAAAAACCTGATAAATTACATCTGCTACATCTGTAGTGAAATGAAAAAAAAGTGGCAGCTACAGTAAGGAAGGTAATGGATATGAGAAAAAGCAGCTGTATTTGTTATAGTCTACTAGCACAAAAATTGTGCAATTGCCTCTTTATATCATACATGATGATATATGCTGAAATATGCTGAAGCTTACCAACTTAGGCTCCTGTCTTTTATTGGTCCTGGGACTCTTACACAAAATAAATGACTGGATCTGAGAGAAGACAAGACAACTCATAAGAACATGATTCAGCAGTTCTCAAACAAGATGAGTTTGTACATTTTCCAGCCAGCTGTGGTATGTCAACAAGTCAAACTTAGAACATATTCTTCAAATTATGTGGTTGGACATTCAGTCTCAGCTGTAGCCAGGTTCTAGAAATAAGGTGGAGAATGACACAAATCTATTGAAAAATTTTAAAGGTGGGGGGAGTGGGGAAAATATGCATGAGCTACTTTTATCTTGATGCCATTTCATTTCTAAGCACCACAGTAAAGTTTTCATGAGCAGTGTTTGAAAATGCTTTATAGAAGGCCATTATTGATATCTCTGTAATTATAGAACTATGGAGATAGAACCTGAGATCCTAAGCCAGGGGTCTTCAATCTTGGCCCTTTTATGACTTATGGACTTCAACTCCCAGAATTCCTCAGCCAGGCATGCTGGCTGAGGAATTCTGGGAGTTGAAGTCCACAAGTCTTAAAGTTGCCAAGTTTGAAGACTCCTGTCCTAAGCTAATGGTAGAATGCAGGCACAGAAGCTCTTAAATATCTGTGAGTTTATAAGAGTTTTCTGTAACTATTGGTTAGGCTTAAAATAATTAAAATTAATATTGCTAGACAACCATTTGAAGTGTCGGCAAATAAGTGCTTGAAATGGGATGAGGTATCTTCATCATCATTGTCATCACAATAAATCATGGATTATTATGTGGCAAATGAGACACAATGGATTTCAGGTATGCATGGTACCAGGTTCCCATGTTTTCCTCTGGCATGATGATTATATAAGGGGAGATACATGGATATTTTTTTTCCTAAGACTAATTGCAGCTTCCTATTTTAACTAAACTTGATAAACTGTGATAAATTTTAACAATTAGCCAATTTAAAACTATGGATTCTGAAACTAGCTTTTGCAAACAAGTCTTAGTTAATATTAACTACATTTTTCAACAGTAAACATTTAATTTAGAGAAGTGTGACATTACTTTGGCTTTAAGTAAAAGGTTCTAATATATTTCTCTGAGCAACACTGTAGGAAGTTTGAGATGTCTGTAAGAATCTAAGACTCTCACATAGCTAAGCTCTTAAGATGATAAATAATAGTTTGCCACAACATCTAATGCTGTTTGCCATAAATATAATTATTTTGAAGATAAAAACAAACATTTTTAAATGGAAACATCTATAAAAATCAAGGCAATATTAATATAAATATATGTATACTTTTTTGAGAGCAGTTGTTAATCCAACAAGATATTGTCATCCTTTAATGATACATTTTGTAACACATATGACCAGGGCTGTAAAGCCATACCGATAAATATATTTCATTAAGGAGTGGTGGAAAATATTACTATTAAACTCACTTGAAGTAAAATTAAAAAAAAAAGAATTATAACAGTTTAGACATTCTAATTAAAAAAGTGCTAATGTGACAAATCACTCTTTGGATACATATGATTTTTTTTAAAAAAAAAAAAAGAAAAGAAATGAAGCAACTATATTTTTTCCATAGGGACTACCAGGGATATAATATGAAAATTATAAATTATTGTAACAATTAATATACAAATTATACTTTTTTCCTCCAGATATAAAGGACTAGATGAGAGTTCTTTGCAATTATCATTGCTTACTTAATTTATTTCCTGTTCAGATTGTTCAATATAAAGACATATATATATATATTGTGACCAAAGTTAATTTGGGATGGGAAATTGAAATTGATTTACCCAGGATAACATTTATTTTTGTTTAGAAATGTCTTATTTGGATATTTTTCAATTCTGAGAATATTTTTATACAATGTATACGGTCTAATACAAATTATAAAACAATTATTTTTGTTATATGTAAATTAGAATGTACCCTACTCTGGCTCTCCTTTAAAACGTAATACTTAAAACAATGGAAATGCTGCTCTGTGTTATTGCTCTGTAATGCAGAATTTCTTAATTTGAAAACCTCAAAGTAATAGACAATTATTGCAAATGACAGAAAGAAAAATGGAGTGTCCTACAAAACATAAATCTATTAATAAATATGTTTAAATGTATAATTATTAACAAACACTTGTGTTTTTTAAAATAAGATCTGGATTATGATTTTTGCCCTAGACTAGAACTCTTTTATGCCTTACACTTTCTGGGCAATCTCCACTCATCCACCCTATATTACTGAAGCTTTAAAAAGTATTGCTTTATATCCAGGTAGAAGGAAGTAACAGCCTGCATATTCAGGAGCAGGAACTACTCCCATGCCTTTGTACTCCATGTTAAACAAATCATTGGCGTTATCTGCTCTCGTTTATCCTCCACCCTAAAACTTATGCTAATTGGGCTGGTAAGTAACTGAGAAACAAAAGGAATATTTCATTGGAATTCCATTTGGAACCATTGGAACCATTGTAGAGAATGTTAAGAAGTAAAGGGTGAATTGCTCAATGTTTTCCATATGTGGCAAAATGTGTTTAGCAGATTGAAAACCAAAATGAGCCAAGTTCCCAGTGACGAAGGTTAAAGAAACCAAAGTACTGTGAAGAGGTTATATGTAATAGTAGTCCACTATTAGAAGAGAAGTAATGGCATTCCAGGATTGTAAAGATGATTACATGCAATTTGAAATAGAAGTCAATATTTATTTCCATGTTGGTTAACCTTTTCCAGAAGTGGATATGTCTTAGCCCACACTGCAAGCTAGAGCCATTTTAATGCACATTTCTGAAATTCCTGAATGGTAATGGAAAAAGACCCGGGTTCATTTACTGGCAGAATTCCCTGAAAATAATGGAAAAGAAAACAGCTTGACAACTTGGAGACTTGTTCCCAGAACTGATAATGCTAGGCTAAGTAGATCAAGGGTCTGATGTGATATCATGCAGCTTTGGTTTCTTTATGTACAGCCACCTTTGAGTGCATATCATTTTGTTTTTAACTTTCTAATAATCTATGTGGATGTCACAGATCTCTTGGGGTTTTTTTCACCAATGCTATTGCCTAGGAATCTTGCACACTTTTAGATAAGATTCGCATTGGAATAAAATGGAAATTACATTTACTGAATGCATTTAACTAATTAGATCAGAGGGAATGTATGCAGATAAAAACAGGTTGATGGATAAATTATTCTTCAATTTAGGGACAATTTTGCTAGATCACATTTTCAGGATAATAAATTGGAAGAGGGCATTTAGGACATAGAATCCACCCTTTGCTCAGTACATGAATCCATGTTTCTATACAATTCCTGTGTAATGAATCTTTAGAATGGTACATCATAACATTGTAATTTCATAATTGCATCTGTTCAGTTGATCCCCAAACATCCCTGCTTAGTTCAGCAAGTATTAAAGTCAGCTTTTGTATTTCCCTGGTTCAACCAATGAAAGAACAACTTCTAAGAACATTTATATGAATGTAGCATCTATCTAGATCACTGTTTCTCAACCTTGTCCACTTTAAAGATGTGTGAATTTCATTTTTTTTAATTCCCCAGCATTCGTTGGGAGTTGAAGTCCACACACCTTAAAATGGCCAAGGTTGACAAACACTGATCTAGAGCTTTAAAGCAGTGGTATCTTCCAAATGCTTAGCTTGGCCACTTTAAAGACTTTATTAAATTCCCTCCATATGTCTTGAATGTACACTATTTCACTTCATTAGTAATACCAATGAAGTATTGCCTCTACAATATCACACACAGATAACAGGCCATATAACACTTCCAGAAAACATTGTCTATCACGTTCATTTTTGCCAAGGTGCTTCATAAAGTGTTATTTTCATAATGTACTAAATAACATTAAGGTCTATATCTTTGTATGATAAATGATACATGCAGTGGAAATTGTATGTAGAGAAGGTACTGGGTGGGAATACCTAAAAGATTTTTCAATTCCATGGAAATTAATGGTGTACCATTAAATCAGGCTCATATACTTTGATTTACCTGACTCAGGTACATTTGTAATTTGTAAATTCTTTCATATACTAGTACTTTAGCACTTCTGTTAAATGATGTACTTTAGGATGAGACTACTAAAATACAGGTCAATTTTAAAAGACAATGTGAAAATTCTTTAGGGTTTGTAAGGTCTTACAAATTCATATATTATTAGAATTTATAGAAGCAGTTTATCATCTAGATATGACAAAACCCATTAGGTTAGCTATAAGAAGCATTGTAAGATTCTAATTCTTGATTTTAGTTTTTAGTTTATTTTGTTATTGCCTTAAGTTCACATTTTCATGCTCATTTACACCTTTTAAAGATCATTATTTCAAGGATTTAAAAACTAAATATAAGTATGTGCAATGCAGCATAATAAATATCTGTTTCCATCTACTAATTAAACATTTGTCTTTGTGAAAGACTATATTTTGTGTATAATTATATTGTATTAAAATGTTGCACTAGCACTTCAATTTCATTTGGTCTCCTGTCACCAATATAAAAATGTCATGTATCACAAATAATTTGCTTTATATTGCACACACAAACATAGACACTTAGCCAAACTTCAGCTAAGGCGAGATATGTATATTTTTTAAGCTTTTAAATATCTATCAAATGCTGACAA